ACAAGGGAGAGATAGACATATTTGGCGAGCCTGCCGTGATTCAAACACCCAGTGATGCCATAGCGCGCGGAGTGGGCATGGTGCATCAACACTTCATGTTGGTGGATAATTTGAGCGCGCTGGATAACGTCATGCTGGGAGCAGAATCGCATTTTTATTTGCCCAAAGCGCAGAAAAAAATGCGCAAGCAACTAGAGGATCTTATGCAAAAGACGGGTTTGCATATAGATCTGGACAAAGAAGTGGGGGAGTTACCCGTTGGAGACCAGCAACGGCTGGAAATCTTGAAAGCCTTGGTGCGCGGTGCCAAGGTGCTGATTTTGGACGAACCCACGGCAGTACTTACGCCGCAAGAGACGGTGCAACTCTTTGGCGTATTGAAAACCCTGCGCGACCAGGGTACTACGATTATCATCATCACCCATAAACTCAAAGAAGTGATGGCGCTGTGTGATGAAGTCACCGTTATGCGTCAAGGCCAAGTGGTGCAGACCGAATCGGTTGCCAATACTTCGGTAGCGCAACTGGCGCAAGCAATGGTCGGGCGCAAAGTCAATATAGGACGCCAAGACGCAAAAACTAGTCGCGCAAGTGATGCCCAAGAGTTATTACAAGCGCAACAATTGCTTTGGCGCGATGCACAAGGGGTGGCGCGACTCAACGACGTAGATGTTAGCCTTTATGCGGGTGAGATTTTGGGCGTGGCAGGCGTATCTGGCAATGGCCAAAGCGAACTGCTGGATGTGCTTTGCGGCTTAAAAACCCCCCAAGAAGGCAAAATGGACTTGCTGGGCACAAATTTCACACCAAGCCATTGGCTAAATCCCAAGCAAGCGCGCCAAATGGGCTTGGCCCATGTGCCCGAGGATCGCTACGCTAGAGCCTTGGTCATGGGGTTTTCTGCCTGGGAAGCGGCAGTATTAGGCTATGAGGGTTTGCCTAAATTTAGCCGCTCAGGCATTATGCGCCACGCCAATATGCACCAAAGCACCAACGAGATGATGGAAAAATTTGATGTGCGCCCGCGCAATGACCAATTGCGCGCTGGCAGCTTTTCTGGGGGCAATCAGCAAAAGCTGGTACTGGCGCGCGAGCTAGGACAGTATCCCAAAGTATTGCTGGTAGGGCAGCCCACCAGAGGTGTGGATATCGGCGCCATAGAGTTTATCCACAAGCAGCTGCGCACGATGCGCGACGCGGGCAGCGCTGTGTTGGTGGTATCCAGCGAGCTCGATGAAATATTGGCGCTGTCAGACCGCGTAATGGTTATGAACCAAGGCAAAGTTACTGGCATATTGCCTATAGAAGAGTGTGATGAAATTAAAATTGGCCTCCTCATGACAGGAGGAAACAGCCCATGACAAACATAGACAAGACCGAGCCTGACAGCAAAACCGTTTCTGCCCCCAAACTGCCGCAGAAAAAAAAGGCAGAAAAAGCAACAAGTGCCAATATGCCGCGCTGGCTAGATGTCATCGTGCTACCCATGTTTAATTTGATGGTGGCTTTGTTGATTACAGGGGTAGTGGTGGCCTTGGTGGGGCAAAATCCAGCAGAAGTACTCTATACCCTGGTCAAAGGCGCGTTTGGTAGCACGCGGGGGCTTTCCTATACTTTGTATTACACCACCACGTATATTTTTACGGGATTGGCAGTGGCAGTGGCTTTTCATGGGGGCTTATTTAATATTGGTGGCGAAGGCCAAGCGCTCATAGGCGGCTTGGGAGCGGGTCTGGCAGCTATATTGCTAGGGCCGCTACTGCCCGCTTGGTCCATGTTGCCTATCATGCTATTGGCAGGGTGCTTGTTTGGCATGGCCTGGGCAGCGATACCCGCTTATTTGCAGGCTTATCGTGGCAGCCATATCGTGATTACCACTATCATGTTTAACTTCCTAGCAGCAGCATTGTTTCAATACTTGATGTTAGAGTGGATTAAGCCCAGCTCCAGCATGGCTATGGAGAGTGCGCCGTTTGCCAGCTCTGCGGTTTTGCCCAAAGTGCGCGATATGTTGGGCGCCGTAGGAGTAGACTGGCCCAGATCACCTTTTAACGCCAGTTTCTTATTGGCGATGGTTGCAGCATTTGCTGTGTACGGACTACTTTGGCATACCCGTTTTGGCTATCGGCTGCGCGCGGCAGGCGCTAGCGAGGGTGCTGCGCGCTACGCGGGTTTGCCCACCAAGAAAATGGTAGTCATGGCTATGGGAATTTCGGGAGCTTTGGCGGGCATGGTGGCTATGAATGAGCTCTCTGGTGTAGCGGGGCGCTTACAAATGGATTTTGTAGCAGGTGCAGGATTTACCGGCATTGCTGTAGCGCTGATGGGGCGCAACCATCCATTTGGTATCGTATTGGCTAGCCTGCTTTTTGGCGCACTTTCGCAAGGCGGAACCGAGGTGGCTTTTGTCATCAAAGGGTTTAGCAAAGACATGGTGGTAGCGATGCAGGGCTTTATAGTGCTGTTCTCTGGAGCGATGGCTTATGTGTTTGCACCTGTTATCAATAAAGCCTACCAAAAATTTGCAACACGCCTTCAAGTGGTTATGGCTGCTCCGATGTCCGAAACAGCTGCACAACCCATTGTAAAAACAAACGATACTAAACAAGGAGAGCTAGCATGAACGAGGCGCTCATAGGCTCAATATTAGCCTCAACCTTGCGGGTCAGTACCCCTT